TCCATGGTACACTTTGTATTTATTTTTTAAAAGAATTATTTTATTTATTATTATCACTTTTTAATTTGACCAGAGAGAGAGAGAGGGAAAGTGAGAAAGTAAGCTGCTAGGTCTGGGACTTGAACCGTGGTCAACCATATGGGAGCTCAGCACCTTAACCACCATGCTATCTGCTGGCCACTGTTGTAGACAATTTTTTTTAAAGGTTTTTGCCTTAGGGTGCGTGCACTCGCCAGAGGGAGAGAGAGACAAAGGCAGTGAGAAGAGAAGTGGGAAATTACCCCCCAGGGAGGATGGCGACGCAGCAATCTCTTCTCCTCCATTCTCCTCCTGGGCTCTTAGGCATACACACACACTTGTGCCTGGTGTGATTTTCAAGCCACTGGATCCGGGACTCAAACTGTAGTCGGCTATGTGGAAGTCCAGCGACATTACTGATGCTTCATCTGCTGGCCCCTGTACACAGTTTTAAAAATACCGAATTCTTGACGTCGACTGCTACTATCTTATGAAAAGAGGTTTCTGTGTGTTTGAATTCTGTGAGGTTTTTACTAACCCAGATTTCCTTCTCTCACACACACCCATTATGGTTCTTTCCCCACTAAAAGTGGCTAAGGGTACAAAGAAAATTGGGACCTAAGGACTCAGTGAGGAAATAAACATCACTGAGAAATAGTCTTATACAGTAATCCCATCACACCTAGGAGACTGGACTGGGTTCTTATTTTAGAATTTTGAAAGTTACCCTTTCTGTTCCTAGCCAGCTGCTGACTTAAAGGTGGGTGAGGCCTGCTCTTGAGAGAGAAATCCACAGTAAAACTGGTGAGGAAGGATGCTGGAGTTGAGATCAGTCTTCCTCACTTGGGAAGAGCTAAATGCACACAGGAGTGGGCCGGCCAGGCGTGTGGTGGTTAAGGCAACTGGATCCCACATGCCCGACTGTGCGGTCTGAGTTCTGGAGCTGGTGGCTTGAGAAACATGCCAGTCACATGTGTGTGCATGCCCAAAATCCCAAGAGGAGAATAAAGGGAGGAGGTTTGCAGCGAGGTCACCCCCATTCCCCCCAACCTCCTCCTCACCCCAGAGAGTGCTTTCTCACTTCCTCTCTCTTCTCTCTGGTGAATGCACACACCCTACAGCAAATTTTAAAAGTAAATAAAAAGTAAATGTGCACAGAGTGCAGCAGAAAGTCAGGCATCTACTGCCAGAGGGTCCGGAGAGGAGCAAGGGCTTTCTCTGCCAAGGGTCCTTCTCCAGGAGGTACTCTGAGCTCTCAGCTGTGGATGAAGGCTTCACCTACTGCCCCAGCCCATTCTCCATCGCATACTTGTATCCAAGGATCAAGAAGCCGGACCAGCTCAGGTGACCACCTGCGTCTAACAAGCATAAATTTAGAGCTCTGAACACCTCAGAAGTGCACTATACTTGCCGCTTCTCAGGGACTTGCATGCATCGGTTCTGGCCATCGGTTCTTTTTCTCCAACAGTTCTGAGCAACACGACACTTTAAACAGTAAAGGTCATAGGTTGTAAAGTTAAAAGGAACAGATTTTTTTTTCCCCTACACTATGAATTCCTCATTGATTTTCTAGTCAAGTATCTAGTCACTATGAATTCCTCATTGATTTTCTAGTCAAATATCTAGTGTTAGAGACCAGCAGTTGGCATAATGGCTATGTCGCCAGACTCCCATGTAATCGACTGCAGTTCGGGTTCTGGACCTGGTGGCTTAAACTCACTCTGGGTGCATGTGTGTGTGCTCCAGATCCCGAGAGGAGAATGGATTGTGGCGTGGCCCTCCCCACTGGGGGGGTGATGTCTTGCTTTCTGTCTCTCTGCCTTTCTGGCGAGCACATGCGCCCTATAGCAAAAACTTCTCCTAAAAAAAAAGAAGAAAGAAAGAGGAAAGAAAGAAAGAAAGAAAGAAAGAAAGAAAGAAAGAAAGAAAGAAAGAAAGAAAGAAAGAAAGAAAGAGAAAGAAAGAAAGAAAGAAAGAAAGAAAGAAAGAAAGAAAGAAAGAAAATCTAGTGTGTCCACAAATAAGCCTTAGGAGTTCCTTTACGGGGCAGGGAGAGCATTTTGTACTTTGGGCTTCACTTCTTGTATTTAAGTGCTTTCTCATATACTTAATTTCTTTTCAAGGTTTAGAGTTCATCAGAACAAATTCACTTAAATCAGGTCGTGCTTTTCAAGGACTGGCCTATGAGTTTCCTTACTTTAAGCAATATTTGGTCCAGGTAACATTCAGCAGAAGCAGAGAACTTGGGGCTGCCTGGCCAACTCTAGATAGTCTCCTGTCATTTATTTGATTCTTTATGTGTTCACATTTGTTGTCTTTGGCTGTTTTAACACACCACATCTCTTTTTGTTGAAATGTAAAAGTTTACCATTTTTAAGAATTTTAATTTTGAATATGAGTAACACTTCAACCTGGCCAGTGTGTTCTGCTTTTTCACAGTTAATTCAAAACAGAGCAGAACTCTGAGATTACTTTAATACAAACAATGTATTATTCAGGATTTTCCTCTAACGAGAGAAACCTCCTTGGCCTTTACACAGCACAATACGATCTTTCCAACTCCTGGTTCACGACCATCCTCAAGGAGGTACAGAACCCCCAGGGCCATCCCAAGGAAAAGGAAGCAGAGCACTTCACACAGTAGGCCCTGTGTGAGACACCTGGCTACAGAAAGGAAAACAAGGGCCCTGCCGTGGAGGACCTCAATATTTCTTGTGTGGGATGAACGGATACTTGACTAACTGACAAATACATTATGACCCAGTTGTGTTGGACATATGTAACAGTGAAAGAATGTAAAAAGTGCTGGGAAATCACAGAGCAAGCGATTTGCTCTTGTGAAAAGCAGAAAGGAAGAGGGTTGAAGAAGACATCATAGAGTGTGTGAGTTTCAAAATGGGGTTTGGAATGAGGGTTAACTAGGCAGAGATGCATGAAAAGAAGGCCCCAGTCAGTCAAGACAGCACATAAATAAGTAAATACATAGCATGGAATAAGGGCAGGGATGGAAATGATGAGTAACATGTGGGCGCTAGAGAGGTGAGAGCAAAATGTGACATGGTCGGCACTGGAGCAGCTGGGAGCAGAACACAGAAGGCCCAGGACACCACCTTGGGAGGGTCATATTTGCTCCTACTGGCCCTGTGTCCACAGAGGCTTTCAAGTCCTTTTAGATTAGGTGGACACTATCTCTTGGCCCTTTGTCTCTAGAACTGAGCTACTAGTCTTTTACTGGTTCCATTATTTCATCTGGTTTTCTTTTTTTTAAAAATAATTATTTATTATTATTGTTAATATTATTTTTCACATGAGTTTTGCCAGAGAAAGAGCGTGAGAGAGAGGGAGAGTGAGAAAGCAAGCTGCCAGGTCTGGGACTCAAACCATGGCCAGCCATGTGAGAATTCCAACACCTTAACCACTATGCCACCTGCTGGCCCACATATTTCTTCTGTTTTTTTCTGATCCCCTTAGCTCTACACAGATTCTCATATTTGTTTCAGGTTTCTAGGCTCTGAAGACTGTTGGAATTTGGAGGTGATTGATCTTTTTTTGGAAACGATTTTATATCCTCCCTCTGGCCATATAAACAGCATTGGTCTGCTCTCCACTCCAGGGAGTAGGACTAGCTATTGGCTATTTTTGAACTTCACACTTAGTTCTTCAGCTTTGTAGTCACCACGGAATGAGTGTCAGTGCTAGTTAGTGATCTTCCTGTTCAACCAAAGGTTGCCTCACTGGATAAGGACACAACTGAGACCAAAATGCAGATCTCTGGACTCCCAGTCCAGTGCTCCAGCTTCTTCTGGCTCTGTTTAGCCAGTTATGGGGCAGACAGAAAGTACTTGGCTGCCTGGAACCCACCAGGCCATAACTGAGAGCTAGGACTAAAGGAGGGTTGCGTTCCTGGAACCGAGTTCTGTTGTGACTGCAGCCAGAAAGCATAACTGTCTTTTGATATCTTGCTTTCCTCTGTAACAGGAGGAGCGCTTTCTTAATCTTTCAGTTACAGCTGAGATTAGGGCTTGAGATGTTGTGAGGGTTTCTGTTGCTGTTCTACAGCTGTTTTGTGGTGGGTGAGGGATGTCAGATCTATATCCAAGTTGTGGAATCTCGACTTTGGGAGGAAGCCTGCAGGAGATCTGTGGTGACAGACAGCCTCCTGTGGTGGACTGGGCATGGGAGACTCTAGATTTAGAGGACTGGGTTTCCTTTTAGCACGGAACTCCCTGCCTGAAAATGTTCAGGCTGAGAAAGGATGTTCCAGCAGAGGGGCTCCTGCTCTAATAATAGGGCTTTCTGTCTGAGAAAGGATGTTCCAGCAGAGGGGCTCCTACCCTCATAATAGGGCTTTCTGCTCAGAAGAGGGGCCAGTTTGGGAGACACCGTGGTTTCCAGCTCCTGCACAGATTCTTTCCTAATACCGGCTCGGTGGAGCCGGCACCGCTGCTGTGCAGAGAGAAGCATCATGAATGTCAAAGATCTTCAGTGCATTCACTGCTTTCCTGTTCAGCGCCACGCACTTTACACACCCAGTCATCTTATTTCATACCCAGAATCGTGGCAAGTACGTTGAATGACCATGACCTTTACTATCTTTACTTCTCAGATGAGGAAACAAGAGGCTTCCGATTTTGTCTGCGGTCTTTCAGTATCTCTGGATCAAATTTAGGTTAATCAAGTCCGATTTTTTTTTTTTTTACTTTTTAATTTTTGCTTATCAGATTCCAAGATGTTTCCATTTTTCTTTCTCTTTTGCTCTAGTTTCTATCTTGTTTAAAAAAAAAAAAAAAAGGAGCGACTTTGGAGCTCTAGTTCCACGACCCCACTTTAGGAACAGAGACTAGCAGCCCCCTCGTCCGGACCTGGAGTGGGCTGGCCTGGCCGAGCCATGGGCGGGGCCGTATATGGGCGTGTTCAGAGGGCGTGGTCTGCCTGTAGGCGTGTCGATAGGCGGGTTCTCCTGTGGGCGGGGCTGGTGGCTACTCACGGGCCGGAAGTTGCCCGATGGGAAGAGAAGAACTGACCGCCGAGTTCCTGTCCAGTGTCCTGCGGCCCCAGGGCTGTGGCCTTGTCATTGTACGCCAAAACTCTCCTATCCGCCGCGTTCTCGCCGCCACAGCCTCCAGGGAGCATGATGCCCCGCCTGCTGCTGCGCGCCTGGCCCCGGAGCTCTGCCGTAGCCTCGGGAGCCCAGTGTCGGCCCCTGAGCGCCGGCTCTGGGCCTGACCAGTACCTGCAGCGCAGCATTGTGCCCACCATGCACTACCAGGACAGTCTGCCCAGGTGAGCCCGCCGCCGCCCCTGCCGCCGGCTCCCAGCCCAAGGTCGGCACCCCTAACAGCGGTCACTCATGACTTCTGAACCCGCTTTTGTCCCCTGACCCCTGCCTTGCAGGCTGCCACACCCCCGAGTCTGGAAGTCCTGTGTCTTTCGGGATCTCCAGGCACAGGGACCTCAGAGCCCTAAAATGCTCTTCTAGAACCTCTCGTTGCTCTCTCAGATTCTCCATCTTGAGCTCTTCTCAGGTGGCCTCTCCCTTAAGTTAACTTCCAGCCAGATGTCCTGAGTCGCTCAGTTTCTCTGTAAAATGTCCAAGGTGTGTACACCAACACCACGTGAACCCCTCCAAGAGGGGGTCCCTGGAGTACTTTAATGGCTGCTCACATTCCTGCCCAGAACAGTTACCTTCCTTAAACTTCTCCCAACAGCCACCTTCCTACCCCTGTAACTCAGGCCTCTCAGCTCCACTCCCCATTCTTCCAGGACTCTGCCCTCAGCTGTCCTCAGTCCCCACAAGCCTGTCCCTCACTGTTCACCCTTAACTTCAACTTACCATCTCCCATTTATTGCTTCTGTGAGAGACTAACACCCCCAACAAGGGCTTTACATCACCATCCCCTGCCAGTCCCAGCAGTGTTTCCTGGGCACAACCCTGTAGATCAGAGAGGTCTTGGAACACAAACCAGGACCTTCCCATGTGTCAAGTTGTGTTATTGCTGATTCTAAATTTTTTTGTCTTGTTTTGGAGTTTGCTTTTTTTTTTTTAAAGAGATTTTTGTTATAGGGCGCATGCACTCCCCAGAGAGACAGACCAAGACAGAAAAGCAAGAAATCATTCCCCAGGAGGATGGCCTTCCTGCAATTCCTTCTCCTCCATTCTCCTCTTGGGATCGTGGGTACATAAGCCTTGTACTCAGCTTGAGTTTAAGCTGCTGGGTCTGAGACTCGAACCACAATTGACTATGTGGGAGTCCGGCGACATAACCATTACATAATATGCTAGTATCTGTTCTTTGTTTTTAAAGACAGGATCTTTTATCTCCTGATCCTCCTGCCTTAGACTCTCAACTGAGATCACAGACATGTGCCACCACACCTGGCTCTGTTTTAGACAGGGTTTGTGTCCTGGAACTGGCAGCTTGCTTTCTCACTTTCTCTTTCTCTCTCTCACTTTGTCTCTCTCTGGTCAAATAAAATAAATAAATAAATAATTCTTTTTTTTAAAGAATTATTTTATTTAACTTTATTATTATTTTAAAATTTGCTATAGAGCATGGGTACCCACAGAGAGAGATAGAGAGAGTGAGAGAAAGCAAGCTGACAGATCTGGGATTCGAACCATGGTTGGCCATGTGGGGGTCCAGCACCTTTAACCACCATGCCACTTGCTGGCCCCCCCCAAGTAGGCCCCTTCTTAATATTTTGAGTCTAGTCTTTACCTGGAAACTTTTCACTCCCCTCCCCAGGCCCTCGTCAATAGCCTTTTCAGGTTTCTTGTCCTAAAATATCCTCACTTACCCATATTGCACCTTGCACCTTGCAACTTCAGCTTCATCTCACCCTCAGATATCACCACCCTCAATACTCTTACCAATTGCTTTTTTTTTTTTTTGCCAGAGGGCCCTCATGCTCACTGGAGAGAGACAGAAAGAAAAAGGTGCAAAAGCATTGTGCCATGGAGAATGGTCATGCCACAATCCCTTCTCCTCCATCTCTCTCTCCTTTCAGGATTTTGGGCATTCATGCACATGCACTTGGTGTGTGTGTGTTTTTAAAGTATTATTTTATTTAAATTTATTTATTTATTTTAATTTGACCAGAGAGGAACAAAGCGAGAGAGAGAAAGAAAGTAAGCTTCCAGGTCTGGGATTCAAACCACGGTTGGCCATGTGGGAGTCAGCAAGCATAAACACCACACTACCTGCCAGCTTTCCTGGTGTGTTTTTCAAGTCACTGGGTCCAGGGCTTGAACTGCACAGTTAGCCACATGGGATCTAGCCACCTTAATCACAGCATCACATTTTGTTTTTAATGCTAGGGACTAGGAAAAGAGAGCGAGTGAGAACCCCCACCCCCACTGATCATGCTGCAGTCCTTTTTCTTCCAATTCTCCATCCTGTCAGGATCCTGAGCGTGCACATGCTAGGGGCCAGTACTGGAACCCTGGTTTACAATGTGGGATCTGGCTTCTTCTTTGGAGTTCTTTCTCATGTGGTAGGGGACTAGCTCCCAATAATATCATGTTCCAATTAGATCTAAGGTCTCTCCAGAATCTCTCTATCCCCTTCACTATAGGCTACCCCACCTTCTGAAACACTTCACTCAGAACCTACTTCCCCTATGAAAGCAGCCCCAGTAAATCTTCCTCTCCTCTTCTCTCAGTTGATGTTTTCTTAAATCTGGCTTTTAGATTTCCCAGCCTTTATCCATGTTGCCAAGTCTCCTCCAAAATTTTCACTGTAAAGTAAGTTCTTTAATCAGTAACCATTTAGTTCCTAGAGCCGAATTCCAAAGTTGTCCCAAAGACCCTTCTCACTTTCTTTCTAACTGAACGGCCATCAGCGATCCCCTATTCCGGAGGTTGGAGGCCAGTGTTCCTTCTCCATGAATAGAACAAACATTGTATCACAGCCATCGCCCCCACTTGCTGGGTTACTGTTTTACTGCTATTTAGAAACCACTTGGCCCAACATCATCACTGCCCACCTTACTCTCTCGGTAAGACTCTCCAATAGTGGTTATGGAATTACTGTGTCAGGCCAGCAGATGATGTGGTGGTTAAGGTGGCTGACTGTGTGTCCGAATCCCAGACCTGAAGCCTTGAAAAACACTGAGCACATGTGCATGAGAAGGGATTGCAGTGTGACCATGCCCCATGGGGAATGCTTTGTCAATATCTCCTCTTTCTCTCCAGTGGGCACACACGCTCTTCGGAAAAAAACAAAATTAATGTGTTCAAACAGCTAATACCAACGAAAATGAGATTATCTAAACTTGGCAGGAGGGAGAGAGTAAGAAAAGGATCTTTGTGCCTGTGGATAAGTCTGGAAAATGCCTTCTCTTTCTCAGCCTGTGTCTCAGCCGAACCAGTATGTGGGGGAAAGGTGAGGATGATAGAACCTGGCTTCTCCTGCCAAGCCCAGAGTCAGATGGTCACTGACTTTCAGGCTGACTTGGGCCCTATCCAAGTTTAAGATCAGAGGGAATTGCTGCATTATATAGACTTTGATCATGTTTAACCTTAAGCAACCAACTTCCTTCTGGCCTCCGTTGACTTCATCTATAAATTGGAAGTTACATGAGAGCTGAAATTCTCTTAACTGAGATTCTAGAGTGAAATGTGTTGTGTTTGCTACTCAGATCGATGCCACACTTGAAATCTGGTAGAACTTGGTTTCCGATTCTGGATCTGTGTAACTCTTTAGCTATAACATTGTGCAATCCAGTTAACTTCTCTGAGCAGCAGTTCTTACCTGTGAAATAATGACAATATAGTTCTTAGGGTTATTTTGAGGATGAACTGAGATAAGGTGTCAAAGATAGGAAACAAGTTGTGTATTTATGTTGGATGGTCCGGTCGGTCTTACTCTCTCCTTCTTCCTGTTCCTATCTTAACACTTTTAACCAAGTGGCCCTGGACTCTCTTGGGCACCATTACACTGTCATTGCCTTGGTGTGTGTGATTTATTTGTTTAATTGCCAAAGGCCCATGTGCTTGCCAGAGTGGTGGGGAAGCACCTTCGATTGATGTGGTTACACTGCAATCCTTTTCCCACCATTTCTGCATCCTGCTCAGGATCCTGAGCAAATGCTCAGGATGTGGGCATATATGCACACGCACTCAGCATGTTTTTCAAGCCACTGGATCTGGAATTCAAACCATGGCTGGCCATGTGGGATGTGATTGTCTTAACCACTAGGCCATAGGGCCAGCCCTCATTTCCTTGTTTTTAAATGTCATTTTTTTCCTTCACTCTTTGTGTGTGTGTGTGTGTATGTGTGTGTGGTAAAATATACATACCAGTTACCATTTTAACTGTTTTAGGTATATAGTTCAGTTAGGTCTTATTTTTAAGGGTTATATTTAACTTCAGAATATAATGTTGCAAGTCTTAAGGAGACAAAGGACGGATGAGCCTGACCTCATTCACACTGCTAATTTGATAAATACTTACTGATATTGGAGACCAGTCAGTCATGGTGAGGAACTGCAGTATAGTGAGGGAGATTTGACAGGTAGACACGTAGTTGTGATGTTGTCGTCAAATCAGCGAGAAATAAGAGGATATCTAGATGTAGCCAAATTGTTGGAGTTTTATTGCCGGCAATTGTGGGAGGACTCGTGTCTCTCAAAGACCCCACAGCCCCAAGTGAAAGGAGAGGGATACTTATAAAGGCAAAAATCACAATCATTTCTGGGTCGATGTGGCGATTACAATGGAAAATGGGGTGGGGGTGGAGAGGAAAGGGAGTGGGGTTCCCATGTGAAAGCAGTTACAGAGGCCAGATCACGCAAGTTAATAATTTCTAAGGGCACTCTCCACCTTTGTGTAATGTTCCCATGGCTCCAAGTGGGGGTCTGGTGATTGGTGGTTACAGTGCTAAGGGACATCTAAACAAAAAGGTTTCGGGCTAGTTAGCAAATACAGTAAGACTGTTAATTACTTTGTCTACTCTGGGCAAAAGGAGGAAGCAAGTATAATATAAAGTTCAAAGATGGAGGTGCTTCTGCTTCATTCCCCACTGGTTTTAAGAAAATGAATCAAATCATTGATTCATCTATGGACAGTGGCTGGTATCCTCTCTACCTTCTGATGGTTTTAAGAAAATGAATCAAATCATTGATTCATCTATGGGCAGTGGCTGGTATCTTCTCTACCTGCTGAGGGTGAAGGGAGCCTCTGTATTTGTATATAGGGGGTTAAGCTTCCAAGGAGTACCATACCTGATGTCCCCAACACTGTGGCTTCACAGTCCCAGAAAAGGCAGAAGTAATCGTTATT